TTAACGATTTAAACAAAATTTTGTATAATTTAAATCATTACAATGTGTAACAATCCAGTTTAGAGAACAACAATTGAACATTAAATAGCATGTGAAATGATAAAATGCAAAAATTTTAAAATAAATAACAATATTCACTCATCATAATTGAAGTATATAGAGAAGATACTTACAACTGATAAAATTAAAATGAAATTATTTGAGTGATTTCAACGTAATATTTTTATTTAAACAATTAATATACTTTTTCTTTATTTACATTAATATTATTTGTTAATGTTTATATAAATATACATATGTATGTATTTTTGTTAGTTTAACAAAGGTTTTGAATTGATCATTTGTGTCGATTTTAAATTAAAGTGTTAATTAAACAACCAAATAAAAGTATTTTTATTTTCTTTTGCAACAATACATAACAAACAATGTATTTTTTCAAGTGTAGTAAATCATATTACTTTCAAATAGAGTTAAACTAATCTTTAGTTAATTTTCTTGATGAAAACGATTATTTATAATACAATAAAAATCAATAAAATAATTACAAACTCAAGTGAAAACAAACAAATATCTCAACAGCTTTGAACAAATTTTAATAACTTTTAAAATTTATAATTGTGATAATTAAAAATATAATAAAGTAAACACGAAAATATATAAATATTGTTAATTTTTATAGTAATTTTAAAACAATTTTGGTTTAATATAATACATTATTTTTATTTTTATTCATTAATCACACAAACCATCTCACACCCTCTCACACATTCTTAAACTATTTTTATTATATTTATATTTTTTAATAATAATATTTTTTAAATTTCAATTAGTTAAAATATTATTGTTTTTTTGTTTTTACATTTTATCATTATTTTAAAAGTGGTATTTGTTTTTTATTTTATTATTATTGCTCAACTCTTTTCTTTTTAATACATAGTCAACGGGAAGTAAATCACTATGTTCATTTTTATGGAGTATGATGCAATTTTTTTAATAGATAAAAATAATACCTATTTCAAAGATCATGTTTGAACAACATCTGCATTGAAGTATCGATATTGAAGAGCCAAACTTGCACTTTCATTTTTTCCTCGTTGTATAAATTATTGTTGTAGAACAAAAAGTCCATTGTAAAAAAAATCACCCATTTTTTCCTTTAGTGAATATTTTGTTCGAGAGGTAAATATACCTTCAAATTTGTTTTGTTAACTGTACATTTCTTTTTTGATTAATTGAAATTGCACAATAAAAAAGGACTTTTTATCGAAGTTTCTATATATTTGTTTTATGTTACAAATATTTAGATTGTCTTTTCGATGATAAATATTTACGTTGCACATGGCAGAAATTATAATACATTTTCTGAATTTTCCTTGTCACAATTTGACAAAATCCAATTTCATTCAAATTTTCATTTCCGAACAAAAAGTGCGTTTGTCATTCAACGACTCAAGACGAAATTAGTAACAGTTACTTCAAGTAACCCTTCTCAATTGAGCGATTTTAATCGTTTTCATATAACAGGAAAGTCCAATACGTTTTAAATACAATTTTCAAACTGTTTATGTATTGTATTTCATTGACGTCACGATACTCGTGTTTGTCTTATTTGATTCAATTGGTTAACATTCAACTTGAAGTCACCCATTTCAGTTTTTTACCCGCGAAACATGTAAAATAAATTCCCAAATTTCACACAACATGTGTTGTGTTACTTGTTGTATTCAATTTGATTTTGTTTTTTAATTCTTGCTTATATATTAGATTTCTGCTCTCAATAACTTAAACTTATAATCATTTATTTTATTCCTGTAAAATTATATTTTTTCCCAAATTTTTTTATTTATCTTAAATATTAATGATAAAATTTTAATCTTTGATTAAAATAACGCGATTCGTGTTATTCATTTCAAATGTATCACTCATACTTTGATTTTATGATACTTATTTATTTAAATTATTTCCAAAAAAATTACGAATTTAGGAAAAATTTAACCCTTTTTTCTTTTAATAAATATTAACGGATTTAATTTATATGTTACCGAAACAACAACATACAAAAAAGTTTTTAAATCCTTGTATATTGATTTTAGTTGTTGTCTTTTTTTAAAAAACATACAATTAAAAACGATATTTAAGTAAAACAACTTATTTTATTTAAATCAGTTTGTTAAACTTAAAGTTTTGTTATTTATTTTTCAAATAGCAGTCGACAAAAACTATTATTTTTGAACAAAAAGGTAACAATTAAAAATAATGAAATTTTGTTTAAAAGTTTTAAAAAGATGACAATTATAACAATAACGACCTAAATATTTGATCAATAATTAAATGTATTATTTTACAATGATTGTTTGAATCATTTAATCATAACTATAATATATTATATTATAAATATATATATATATATATTATATTATCAAATAATATATTATTAACACTATTTTTATTTTTGTATTGGTTAATATAATATAATAATATAATACTACATATTTAACAAAACTATAATTGAATATTATTAAAAATGTTACTATTTATAATTGTACATTTGTTTTTTAAAATGTAAAATACTATGATTAAATAATTAAATATAAACTCAAAAAAATAAAAAAAGTGTATTTTATGCAAGATGTTATATAACTAAAACTTTGGATATATTAAACATATTTATAATTCATTTTATATGAT